GAAACATTTACCGCGTGATGCCGGTATAACAAGCAGCTGCAATGAATACAAATCTAGTAAAGAAAGCAAGAAAGAAAGAAAGAAAGAAAGAAAGAAGAAAAAAAGAAAGAAAAGAAGATAGAAAGAAAAAAAGAAAAAGAAAAGAAAGAAAGAAAGAAAGAAAGAAAGAAAGAAAGAAAGAAAGAAAGAAAGAAAGAAAGAAAGAAAGAAAGAAAGAAAGAAAGAAAGAAAGAAAGAAAGAAAGAGAGAACGGAAAGCTTCCTGGCTTCTTTTTTTACATTTCGTGGTCCGTTCTTCACCTCGCTGTCTTATTTACGCAAGGCAATGACGCCGGAATTATTGTGTGCGTGAGTTTTTTGCGTGGTCCGCAAAGTATATAACGCACTTCGACTATAGGACTATAACGCCGTCGTCGCACGCGTTGTGAAATGCCAACTCGGGAGACGTCACACGTAGGAGCACGGGTTAATTACACGTTCCGTGCAGGTCGCCGCTCTTCGGCGTTTTCAGTCCTAAGGTCGACAGAGGGAGGCAAAAGGCGGAGAGGTCAACGCGTTTGGGAATAGTGCAGATGTATGCGTTTAACAAAGCAGTGACCAAATGGAGCTATAAAGAAAAAACGCATGTTCATGTGTAAATGTGCTTAGTATGACGGTTATACTTAAGCGAGTAAAAGATTAAGAAGGAAATCAAGAGGACGTACGTGTCGCTACGTATACACTTGTTTTTCATCGTCTTTTAGTCGTTTGAGTAACTGACATACCGAGCGCATTCCAACATGAACGTGCACGCCTTTAGAGTATGGAAATTGGTAACGTGTTTTGTAGGGCTAATCTTGCGTGCGAAGTCAGGACGCCGAAACTATAGCACTCACTTCTCTCATCTTTTATTCCCCTTACCCCCTACCCTAGTACAGGGTAGCCAACCGGTCTTAGAACTGGCTAACCTCCCTGACCTTCCTCTTTCAATCCTCCTCCTCCTCCTCCTTCTTGGGTCTTTGTAGGACGCAGGCGTAGCGCCAGCAATATTCTGAAGCGACCTTGCGTCACGTGTCGTCAAGGCCTGTGTCTGTTCAATTTGTGGCTCTGTTTTGTTCAAAGCCAAAACCGACGGTTCTTTTTCTTTCTTTTTTTAAGGCTTTCATTTAGGTTCGGACTCAGGCGCTTATATGCGTTCCGACAATTATCGACTATGGTTCAGTTCCGGCCAAAGTTTTCGTTCGAAAACGGTTTTATATTCTGGTTCGGTTCGACGAGCTACAGGTAGAAGGCCACCTATGTTCTGATGTATGCGAAGTGGGAAGGTCCAGTCACATCCATACTTTCTACGCCCTGCGTAGCTCGGTACGCTCACTCAGGCGTACATTTTACTCACACTCCCTTACACCCATCTGAACGTTGTAAGTGTGAGTATGAATGAGTGCTGATGAGTGTGAATCGAAGTTAGTGTGAGCGTAAGTTAGCATACGGATGCGTGTTAGTGGACGTGAGTATGAACGTGTGTGAGTGCTCATCAGTGTGAGCGGACGTGAGTGAGTTCCTACGAGTGTATAAACGAGAGTGAGTGACTGATGAGTAGCCGAGGCTGAGTATAGGCGTGAGTATGAACGAGAGTGAGTGACTATGACGGAGTAGTCATGAGTGTGAGTGGACGTGAGTGTGAACGTGAGTGAGCCCTCATGAGAGTGAGTAGGGGTCAGTATGAAGGCGAGCGAGTTGGAAGGCTGAAAAAATTGTAGTAAGTCGGTTTGAGCGAGTAGGCCCTTAAAGTGCTGACCTATGATGCCCGTCGATAGTAACGGCGCACGCAAACGCAAACGCAAACGCAAACGCGCGCGCACACACACACACACACACACACACACACACACACACACACACACACACACACACACACACACACACACACACACACACACACACACACACACACACACACACACGGGACCGAGGCAGATATCACCCCCCCTCTCCTTGCAAACATAGGCTCTCACACTCGTCCCTTTATGCACGGGTGTTTACACGTTGTTATTGTTATTATCATATATACTTAATTCAGTATATAATTCAATATTTAGTACTCAGTAGAGTCCATGGAAGAGCATTCTCGGCATCTCGCACGCGCTAAAATGTCGCATCACCGCGGGGATGCCACGCGATGCGATCTCGAGGCTAAAGCCATCTGCTCTGGTGCCGACGAAGACGCCCCGCTGTGAAAAAAAACGCGGCTCGGGATTTGCACTAGAACATATCGCTGATATATATTGGCGAGCTTCAAGCGTATACGTGGTGCGTTTGTCAGCGTTCTCAAAGGTCGCCGTTGTCGTCACATTCGCAGCGCGCGATCGCAGCTTTCCGCAGACGAACATGGCGGCATACGCGATAAAAAAAAAGAGAAGAAATCAAGGCTATAAAAATGCAAGCGTTAAATGTGACCGAGAAGTAATATGTACATAGAAACAGGGTTGTCGCGCGCGGATCTTCATGTTTGTTTGTTTGTTTTTTCTTGTTGCGTGTAGAGTAGAATGCCAGGTTGGCATACCCTTTGAGCAAAGTGTTACACTCGCTACACTTTTTCCCGAACAATAATCTTCATCCGACTTACGTGAATCTACCTTCTCCGACTCGGCACTCTCGCGCTACAAACTACACGCGTGCACATAAAGGTCACATCATAACCTGACACGCATGTTCATGCAGAGCGCAAGTCCGCGGATGTATAGAGGGCGCAGTGTGCCAGACCAAGGGACTGAATTCAATATTGATAACGACTGCCTCTTGGTGAGAGACAGGCCCTAAATGCGAATTAGTAACGCGGATGCTTCAGATTCCCGTTCTATGCCACGTAGTGCGCCCGATACTGTCCTGCCTTTCACTGCGGGCTTGTCAACCGTTGTGCCCACAGGACGAAATGCATACGACCTCGCGCGTGATCATGGCACTATACTAACCCGGCAGTGCGAGGCGTCCTAATGAACAACCGAATGGTGATGGTGAATTATTTAAAACCGCGTCCAACCAAATCGACAGACCTTAACATGGATTGTGGCACGATGTGCTGTGGCCTAGCTCCTATAGATGTATACGCTGAACCATTCGGCCATAGTGCGCATGCGCGCGTCTGCCTGTACGCCTTCGGCGCTTACTTGCGGACGGCATCGTTTTGACAGCCCTTCTCCATCTCTGAAATCCAGCAGAATATTCTCCAGTATTGCATTCGGCTAAAAAGCAACGCACTCAACTGTACTGTACGCGGGTAACCATGATGCTGCTGGCACTCTTGAGGATGTCTGCTGTTCTGAGGTGTTCTGGCGTTGTTGACAATATTTAAAAAAAAAAAACCTACCAATACGTATACAAGACTGCAAACGTCCAGCGGCCGCGTCAGATAGCTATAGAGATATCATGATAAATAACATTTAGGCTTGCCTGTGTTTATAAAGATCAGCCGAACGACAACGGTGCGAAATGACTGACTTCGAAGCTGACGTATACGGTATATCTCCTGTTATGTGTCAGCGAAATCGCAGCTCGTCACAGGCACAAAAAACAAAGCTGACACTTGTCGAAAGTGGAGGGATGAGCTAGGTGCCGCAATGGTGCCTCATCAAGAGTCTTGCATGTTGCTGAACCAGACGTGAGGTTTTACGTGGTGACCTTTTAATCACCAGTGCTATAAAGAAAAAGTAAACTGCTCTATACACTGGAGCGCTTTCATTTGGCGCTTACATGGCGTCCGTTAAATTGACGTCTCTCGCATCGTAGCGTGTGTGAACAAACAGCGATTGTACGGAATGGGCAGACTACGACTTAGTTAGAGTGCACTAGAAGTGTTCTAGTACACTGTAACTTAGCTCCAGCCGTATACCACGCCAACACCAATGACAACGCAAGCACCCTCGTCGGGTGTATATGCTGTTATATAGACGGAAGCATCGATTTGGGACACAACGGGGTGCTCTTTCTGTTTTTTTATTGTTATTTTGTGCCTAGTATTCGTCGCATGCGGGTGTTCATTGCGAGTGCGCTGTATACAGTGTTCATCAGTCAACTGAATGACAATTTCGCCGTTGCTGCAAGTTAAAAATACTGTCGCGGCATGTCAGTGCCTCCGGACACTAATGGACGCCGTATCGTTGCAGAACTTGGAATGGTCATGGGGTCGTATAAATGGGGGAACTTCGTGTGAAGTACGAGGGCTTCCTCGAAGATTGCGTGCACGAGCAGAACAACGGAGCAGACCATTTCGAGACGTGTAACGGTCCTAGGGCGAACAGGCGGGCCAACTCGATATGGAGCACACGGGCTTCCCAGAAGATTGCATGTGCGAACAAGAATGGGAGCAGACAGGTATGCATCTCTCTGCAGCCTCACACTACTGTAGCTTGTGGCGACCATATTTGCAAGGCGGACACCGGCTGCACAATGCACAACGGCTTAATTAGAATGTATACCTACACTGTTGCAAAACGTTGAAGCGCCTATAGTCAAGTTGCAGCGTGCAGATACAGTTTGTCTCGCCTGACATGGCAAACGGCGCACGCGCGAGCGAGTCGACATCTGAGAGCCTTGCGCTGCGTTACGAGTGTAACGGACGCCCTCTCAAACTCGAAAGAAAGAAAAGAGCGCGAAAAGATAGCGCCTATACTTGTATCGCACGCGACCCGCCGCGCCTATTCGTAGGACACCGCACTTGTACGATGAAATCAGAATCACAGAGAGAGAGAAAGAGAGAGACCTCTCTTATCGGCAACGTGGAGGATCCTAATCAGTTAAAAAAAGATGGAGGAAGGCGGGCACGTCGCCTGAGTTGCGCCGTGGCAGGTGTCGCTGCCGCCCACTACAATGTATGCTCCGTCGGGCCACCTCCGTGCGGCGCGCGCGCCAAGACGCGCGTCTGCTGCTGCGGCCGCAACTCCGGCAGCCGGCGGCAGCTGACATCTCGGCGGGAGGTTCACATCGACCGCGGTGGGCACGTGACCCCCGGCGTATGAACCGGTGTGCAAGTGTGCCGGCAGCCGGGCCCACACGACGACGGTCCTCAGTTTCGTCCCGGAGTCCGAACGCACCGGTTGGGCTCCTGGTGCGCAGCTTGGCCTGGCCAGTCGGCACGCACGCTCCCCTAGACCACGGACTCTCTTGCACGTGGCACGAGGACAGAGTCTTCCCGCCTTTATAGCTCGTCGTACGCCTAAAGGTGGGTCTCGCTGAACCTAGTCATGTGCTTTAGCAGCGCATCAGACTGGCAAGGGCGTTGTCGTATCCTGGATATAGTTTGAAAATGAAAAAAAAAAATGGCAAAAGCAGTCGCGCATTGCTTCATGCGTTGAGATTACGAAGTTGCTGCATTGTAGCAAGTCTTCACAGAACCTATAGCGTGCCGTCCTTAGCCGAAGCATTGTCTTCCCTACAAGACAGTATCATGCTACTTTCTTTATGTTCCCAACGGATGGGCGCGTCCCGGCGGATCGTTCAGAATTTGGCAATTAAACCTTCTCTCTCCCAAAAATCGAAGAACAATAGGCCATTGATGGATTCCTCGTGCTACGCTTCTTTTAGCTGGCCATTTTTATTCTGCGTGAAAGAAGTTAACAAACTAACGCAGGTTAATCGTATGCGCCATCGGCGATCGGGATTTCGTCGTTGCGCGCAATGCACCGAGTAAAGTGCGGCCTCCGCAGGTTCAATTTATATCGAAGATAATCCCGGCGTCTCAGAAACTCAATGCTTTCCTCGAGTACCGTTGTAAACACACGGCGTAGAATAGCAACGGTCCTGGTCGGTTAAAGTGAACAGTGGTGGTTGTATCTGGACTCGTGTGTCGCGGTTGCAATGCGACATGAAACTATACTGTCGCGCCGACTAAGTAGTCTCCTTCCACAAAACTCCGTTGTTTTCAACTCTATATCTGTAGTATCAGATCTTTGTTCTTATGCTGCAAACATTGTTTTCTTTCTCTTTCAAGTTCAACAAAAGCCTATAGATGAGTTCGTGTGCTCAGCAGCCGCATGTCCGTGACTCATACGCCAAGTTAGCTTTATCAAGAGCACATGAAAGCTAACAACGCTTGCTCACTCCCTTAAGTCTCTATTTTCATAACGGGATGCTTCGTCAAATGGCGGAAGTTGGGGGGAGTTCATGAGCCTCTCCAACTTTGACCAACGTTCCGCTTCGTTTTTATCGCGGGCAAATGCCCACCGCTTTGCAGCCGAAGTTGCGAAACATCCGCGAAGGAAGCATCGAGGCAACTTTGGCGCGTAACTTTCCTTGCACTATCAGCATTCTGTACTGTGGGTTATGTAGCCTCAACAAGCATGTAGAAGTAAATCGCTAAAATTTCTGGATCTGCATTCACAGCATACTGAAGTTACTACTCAAAAACACTTAATTCAGCACAGTATATGACAATTACAGGCAGCATTTCAATCCAATCAGGGGCGCGTTGTTCAAACATTTTCAAAGAGTGTGTGATAGGCAAAAGCAAAATCTATAGGGATTCTCAGGACATGCCTGCTGTGGTATTACGTAGGTAGGCTTGGATATTTCCAGATGAATAACTGCCTAACAGTCGCAAAGCGAATAAAATAGATACGCCTCTTCCTCGTGAAAGTAAGAACTCGCGAAGCCCATTCCGAGCCGAGTGAAGCACCCCACGATGGACACCATCGGTGTCTAGCACACGCAAACGCACGGATATTACTGCAGACCTGACAATAAGCTTGACCGAGCGGTTCTCGCGCTCCGGCCGTAAAGTGCCTTCGCAATGGTCAAAATACAAGCATGCGCCTCGCTTCCTATATCTGGGCGGGCGTCGTCGTCCTTCTCATCATCATCGAACCACGGGCCGGGCGAGTCCCCCCCCCCCATCGCACCGTGCGTCGCGTGCCAGTGAGCGGACCGCTGGCATGAGCCCTCGGCCGGGTCATGGAATATTTAATAGCCCCGAATTTCGGGCCACGATAAAGGCTACGTGGAGGAAGGGGGGCACACCCAATCGAGGCGCTCTGCTAAACGCTGCCGTCGTCGCCGCGCTGTGCTTGCCTTCATCACCCGCTGGACTTGAGCGCGCACGCTGACGTCAAAGAGTGCGCGCCAAGCGCCTCCCCCAAACTCCAGGCGCTGTGCTCCCCCGGAACAATGCTTCGGTCCCTACACCGCAGCTGCGAAAGAAGCACGGCTGTCGACGTCGGCCTGCAGACGCGACACAGCTCGCGAGGTGTACGCCATGATGTTGCCTTGTTTGTCCCCTCGGCTGACGAGAGGGACTCGTGCCTCCATATGCCGGAAGAAGGAGCAAGTCGAGCGATAAGAGATAGGTTTGTCCTTTTTTCTGCTTCCTAATTAGTAACTCTCACACTTTGTACGGGAAATAGATCGAGCAATCTGGCGGAACGGTAAACTTGGTTCTTTGTTTGTCCCTTGATACTATAGGATATATGTTCCTGGATAGCCGCCCTTCATTATTGCTTACTCCTTCTTTTTGCTCTGTTAACTAGGTGTCGCAGTCTTACGCGAGCTTCCCGATATAGGCTTAGCGAAGAGCGTAGAACAATTTCGTATTGAATTGAATCTCAAATTACAATTGCAGCACAACAGCAATGGCGGCCGCCAATGACGCGTAACGTATGCCGGATCCGTTCAGTGTGGCTCTTCCATCGGACAAGTTCAGCTTTGCTATAGGAACACGGGCTGAGGTAAGCCTATACGGACTGCATTCATATGTCCACGGTAGAGGCAATACGAAATGAGGAAATTCACTTTAATTAAGCCATTTCTGCAAGTCAGCTTTGTGCCGTGGCCTTCGAAGCTGCGCTTGGCATTCATGGCCTTGCAAATGGCGCGAGAGGAGGTCTTTCGGTGTTCACTGCAGCTGGCAGTGCGGGGAGAAGGTTGAGCTTCGTCATTCTCGTTTCGCGCTGGTCGAAGAAGAACACGTCTTTATCTTAGCTGGTTCTTTTTCATCGCGTCTATTCTGCACTTAGCAGTTAATCCATTCAGGCATGTGGTTCTTCCTTTATAGATTAAGAACGTATTAGATTTTTTTTCAACGCTGCCGATGCTCGGATAACGTATGTTTAGCAGAAGATGAAACTTTTAATTCATGGCCAGCCGCACTTTTTTTTTATTAATGGAGAAATGAGAACCAGGAGCGCACAGAAATCGCATGGAGGACAGGAACAACTGATGATTTCTAGATACTGGTCATTCGCTGTACATACGGCAACCTTAAATCCACGTACGATGACAACGTCTGTGGCGCATTATTATACAACTTCTTTAGCTAAAAGTATCAACTAACAAGTTAGTGACTCTGTTCTCCGTTACGTGACGGCGGTGACATTTTCTCAGAACCACGTGTCAGATATTACCGCTCTGTTTTAGGGTTAAGGTTCCAGAAAAGTGCACCTTTACGCAGAAATGCAAGTGCGTGTTGATGCGTCTTTTTATTTCTGAAACCTACTCAAATATACATATGCAAATTTGCTTCATGTATCTGAATAGCGCTTTGTAATGATGCGACGGAGATGAAGCGACCCTAGTGGCCATCCAAATAACTTCAGCTTAATCAGCGATCGCTGCTGTGGCCATCTGAGCCAAACTCGAAAAAACATGACGTTCATGCAGTGGTGGCCTGCCGTGCAGAAACGAACGGTAAGTCAATCCATGTATTGTTAAGTTGCTTCGTTGCATCTTCACAAGTGTCCATCTCTGTAGCATAAACTCCTTGCCTTACCAATGCTCCCTTATACTAAAAGCACTGTCCCCCCACCCACCCTGAATCTTTCTAATCCCATCCTCACCTTTTTTCCCCTTCCCTTCAACTGCCGTCATTTCTGTACCATCATTGCAGAGGAACGGCAGCGCAGAAACGTACACGATAAGAGAATCATCGCAGCAGACTTATCGCAAGACCTTCGACTACGCCTTCTTCCCTTTTCCGAGGTCGCCTCCATTCGACTTCTAAGCCTGCGACCACGGTCACCCTTGCGGGGACAATGCACGCCCTGGGGCTGACTCGAGCTGCCCGTGCAAAACTGGAACCTTTGCGTTGTTTTGTTCGTTCGGCTCGAGTTAGGAACCGGCGTGGAAGCGCCGTTGGATGCAAACCGACACGCCCTGCCAGGGTCTCTATCGTCCTGCCTGCCCTTTCCCGTCTCGCTTGAAGTGCTCCCCGAAGCGTTCAATAAAGTTTACCGTAATATTTTTTTATGTTCGAACCACGGCTCATAAGCGTGCTGTACTTTTCGCGTATTCGCACATTCGAGGTTGATAAATGCCAGACAATGTGCCATTCATCTAGATGAGCATGATCATGTCTTCTGTCGATGGTATTTCTGTGCATAGCAACATAAATGCTGTTGGGGGTTTTACGTCCCTTTCTGAACCGCGATATAATTTTGAGATACGCCGTGGAGGAGAGCTCCGGGAATTTCGACCTCCGGGGGTTCATTAACATGCACCCAAAGCTAAGCACACTGGGGCTCTAGCATTACACCTTTATTGAAATGCGGCCGAGATTTGACCTTTAACCTTCGGGTCAGCAGTCTGTCACCATAACCACCAGACGACCATAGTTTTGTACAGATCTATAAGAAGGTATAAGATGAAATAATATTATGCAGAAATATGACACCGTGGAACCTACAATGCAGTGAACTTATCGGCTCGTGAAAGCCATATTGATCGAACGTTGATAGGTTGTATTAGAGACGGACTTAAAGGCTCCTTGAATAACTCCGAAAAAGGTCAGAACGACGCTCACACCAAAATGAGAGGGGAAACTAAGAACTCCACACGATAATGTCCCTTAGGGAGTCACCTAGCTTTCGTGCGTTGCTGTGCTTAGAATAAGATTTTCACTCATGAACAGGGCTATCGTACGGGAGTCGAAACGACTTGCTTTTATTTGCTTTTCATCGAGGCCAGTGTGTTGTTTTAATTATCCTAACATAATGCTTGAAAATTGACGTCATAGATTGGATAACACTTCTACGTGCTGAGAGCCTCAGATGCCGTGTGGAAACAGATATAAGGAACAACTGGGGGACGAACGTTATGTGGCATGGTGTGGTGGTACGCGAGTGCTGAAACAAAGATTAATGGTGTTCAGGATATACGTACTGGAAGTGTGGTGAACAAATAATAATAAAGTAAGGGGGGGGCGGGGCAATTTATGTAGAGAGTAAACATGCAAGTTATTTTTCGTTTTTTTTTTGCAGGTCGTCTATCAGTCATAATTTAAAGTCGCAGAAAAAATCTGTGAAACATTTTTTTTTTTAATTTCACGCAGCGTCGTCTACAATGCGCGCGCGACCCCTTGAAATAACGAAGAAATGAGACCTCTGCCACGTAAAAAAAAAAGAGAGAGGGGGGCATTCACTTTCCCACTTTTTTCTCGTGTACAGTTGCGTGCACTCATCAACACGATGACGGCGAGTTATATTGAAGTATTATTGAGAAGCACTCGAGCGAGATATTCATTCTCAGTATTGCCCGGCCGCGGTGGTCTAGTGGCTAAGGTACTCGGCTGCTGACCAACAGGTCGCGGGATCGAATCCAGGCTTCGGCGGCTGCATATTCGACGGAGGCGAAAACGCTGTAGGCCCGTGTGCCTAGATTTGGCTGCACGTTAAGAACCCCAGGTGGCCGAAATTTTCGGAGCCCTCCACAACGGCGCCTCCCATAATTATATGGTGGTTTTGGGACGTTAAACCACACACATCAATTGACATTCTTTCTCAGTACTGTCATGTGGTCGTGACGTTGTCGAAAGCCGCAGTCTGTATGACCCAGGTGGAACTGTTTATTAGGCCGCACTTGGAGGCTGGTGAACGGGAAGTCAGATTACGGCAATACACGCTGGCACTGATAGCGGCGAACAGGGCGTCGGCCGTCAATCAACAGAACCGTGGCAATGCGCGGCGGCATTTATACATGCGGCGGCATTTATACACACGGCGTCGAACATTCAAGCGTTATCACAGGCGGTCGAGTTTGTTCCGGAATAAAATCAGCAGTTCGCGTTGGGCACGTAATCTGATCGGAATGTTCTAACATTATCTCGATATGCCCCTGTTATTCGGGCGCGCTCTGCGCAAGAGAGGAGGTATACATTGCAGTGGGACCGTGACATGAAAATAAAAAGATAGGAGTGAGTGTGGCAGTATGATCAGAAAAAAAAAAAAACGAGCGAGAATGTCGTTACATTTGCTCTCATTAGACTGTGCAAAGAAGCCAGCACCCCTATTCACAAAAGCGTTCGTATACGCCACAATTGGTTGTACGTCAAATTTTCAGTAAATCCAATCATGACACTGGACATGCCAATAGCGAAGTAGACATCCAATAGCGAAGGTAGACATCCACTGAGTAAGAAAATTACAAAAGGGTAGCTTTGTTAAATGCTGCCCGAGGTATCCCCTTTTTTTTTTTCGCTACTTGGTTAATTTCTGCCATCAATGTGAACATTGAGCTCAAAGTTTTGCGATACACGTCCTGTACACTACGAGAAAGATAACATTCAATCTCTCTAATATAATTACTTCCTTCCTGTATTTGAACAGACCCCATTGTGTGAGAGAATGGAATGACAATGTCGTGCTATTTCACCATACTGCGTCTCCGCGTTGCTTCGGCAGGCTCACTGCGTTACAAACAGTATACTTACTTACGTCAGCGAGGATGCCATCTTGTTGTAAAATCGGCGCATTGAGAAGCGGCTCTTTATTTCAATCTATTGATTTACGAAAGCTTTGTGCGAGTTGCAAGTCGCCAAACAAAGTAGTCGGTGTTGACAGCCCCTAAATAATACTCTGCAAATTGTGAATGATGTCGTCAATACAGAGCGTGTCACACACGAAGTTCTAACGTGCTAAAAAACGTGCTACACTTAAAATGCGAAAAAAAACAGTTATTCATTTACAGGTATCGTTTTTCACTGTCGAGAGCCTTTTTAAAAGTTTTTGGCTCGTATAGCTTCTTAATGCTTCCGTTAGGATGCGTATTTCTGACGAAGGCATCTGGTGACCTATTATAGTACTTAAGAAGTGTCGCTAATACGACAACATTACGCTACAATAGCACTGTTCTAGTTAGCACAACGCGATCTGAAATGTTTTAGCTGCATGGGTTGCTCCATGAGTATACGGTAACGTGACGAGTCGAAGATAACTACCAATAAAGCCTAACTAAACAGCTACATACTGACAAGGAAGGCATGATACTGCCGTGCTTTATTATACCTATACAGAAAGACCTCCACTGCTATAATTTCCTATTTGCTTAGAAACCGAAACTGCGGCCAGCTGGTGAAGATAGTTGGGATCTACATTGCAATTGCGATCACAAAGGCGCTGCTTAACTATGGTGCAGCTCGAAAGCACGCTGAGAGCTCGAAATTCGGATTTCTGCGCCCATTATTTTCTTGTGGCCTTTTCAGTATGCCCCGCTACTGGCCCGCGTGATTCTCCAAGTATGCCCTACTAGTGGCAATTACATTACAATTATAGTGGGCTATTGCTTTCTCAAATATGTTAACTAGTGGGCGTTACATAGCCGTTTGAACATTCAGATTCATAGAATGTTTTGTTTCGGTCGGTCACTGCATCTCGCTGAAAGAACCGGCCAAAAGGTGGTGCTATAAAAGGTGGTAGCACCTATGACAGCGATTTTTATTAGCATCACGAACGTTTGTTAATAATGCATTTGGGCACGTGCCCTAAATAGACAAGCCACGGTAACACCAGACAACTCATGACAGCGCGTTGTGGTGGTGGTGCGGACCTGGTGCGGACGCACCTCGAATGTATACGTAAATGCGGCGTAGCAATAATACCGGAATATGCCAAAATTCGACTTAGGAAACTACAACTGCAATGAACAAATGGTGACGAAATTCTGTCTTGATCGCAGTGAAATAACAGCGTGACCAGAATAGATATTTAGGGGACGTTCTGGAATTCTACGTTTTATAGGTGTGATAAAAAAAGTATAAGCGTTACGTAGCACGCCTAACTTACTATTCTCAAGTTATTGTGCCTCTGTACCGCATAAAAGCGTCACTCGCCTGATACCACTGCCCAATTTATTACGTAACTACAGTCACCTATCCACTTCATTCACCAAATGATCGAACTGGGGTGTGAACGGGAACAAACTAAGAGCTCAAGAATTGTTCTACCATCTCCACGAAAAAATTGTTTCACGAAACGCTGCGGTAGCAACCGTTTAAGCTGCTATGTTCTCCACGTCCAAATATTTCTATAGAATTCGAATGCATTTGTAAAATTATTCTTTCGTGTTATTTTTCTTTTTCTTTTTTCTGCCCGCAGCGAATCTTCCACTGCTGCGCTGCTTGGATCCCGGAGCGCGCTTGAAGTGCACCACTTGCGCGAGTGCTGAGATCGCAGCTGCGCTGCAGCGAAGCGGCACAGCTTGCGTGACATCTTCTTTTCTCTTGCAAAACATCTTGCGGACAGAGAACCGAGTCCCGAGCAAAGCAAAGCGAGAGAGGCGAAAGACTGTGCGCGGTTGAACAATGGCTCATCGGAAATCAAAGCCGCACGCTGCAACCCTGACGAAAAAAAAATATTAAAGTGGCGCGACTGCTCCGAAGAAACGAAATTGGATTCAGTACGCCTGTCTTTGCAGAACTTTAGCTGAACTAAATTGAAAAATAAATATATATTGTTTATTACTAAAAAACAAAAAGCGTATGACAATTCGAGAATGGACGGGGTATCTTCGTTTTTTTTAGTTCTGCAACAAGAAGGATTAGTTGGTCATTATATTAATAAAACAAACAGCCACTTACCATGCTAAATGGATTATTCATGTTTCTTTCATGTTTACGCTTAATTAAACACTAAAGCTTTGTTTGTATATAATGTGAGGAACCTGTTTATTCAGCCAGGCTCGAGCTAAATTACACTGGTGATGATATTTACAGATGATGAAGATGTAAAGGTGATGATGATATCTAAAGAGAATGAAGAGTCATTCGCTTGTCCCCTCTCGGTGAAAGCGGCCGCCTGGTCGCCTGAGAGTATTATGAAATGCGTCGCGCATAAGGCTTTAAAAGAGACACGTGCACGTTCTCTGTTCTCGGCAACGATGATCAGGATTAGTGCTAAGAGGAGAAACGCGGTAAATGACAGGAGATGTATGTCCGACCACCGTGTATGGCCCAATGAAGCGACTGGTGAATTTGTCGCATAAGCAGGGGA